TTGAGATCCGAAAGATATTCGTCTACTGATTTCTTTTTCGAAGGCGAAAGAGATGGGACAATTAATTTTACACTAGAGCTTTCACTCATTTTGGCGGCCTATGAAGAAATAATGTGGTAAAAGTAGGTAATCACGTGTAAGTATTTACGGCTGTAGCGTTGCAACCAGACAGAAATCTCGAGCACTGTAGATGTGAAAAGAACACGGTTTAGCACAATTTGAAAAGGATTAGGAGTAAAAGGGAATAAAAACCTGACCGTTTCGCTGCTACTACGCTTAGTTGTGCGACGCTGGCTCAGTTCTTGAAATCCGGCGTGATGGTCCAAAATATGGTGCGAGTTTCAGGTTCCCGGTTCAAATGAATCGTTTATTTTGTCTTTAAATAAAAATATTTATTTAAAATTACAATTTGAAATAATATAATATGTGGTTGACAAAATTTGTGTTGCTTGCTAGACGTTTAGAATATTAATGAACGCTTCTCCTGAGGCTTCTTTCAAGAGCTTCCTACTCGCGTTTTATACGATACGACATCAGAGGGCGTTCGCTCTCGTAGGTGGCGTTAGTAGGCGTAACACACGTGAATAACAGTGTTTGCGTCTCAATTATACAGTTACTTTTGTAGTTAAATAATTACTATGCTATGTAGTTTAAATATAGTTTAAGACGATAGCACGTAAGAATAAATAGCAAGGAGCACATGTGTTGTTACCTTAAATCGTTACATTAAATCACTAAGAGCTATACAAACTTTAGGACCTGAAAAAATACGCGGTATGTCACCCAAGCCAGCTAGCAGTTTAAACAAAACACAACTTTTTAATAAAATTCAAAAAAAACGCTTTAACTCAAACCGATGATAATCCGATCTCACAAATATTAAAATAAAAAGAAATAAAAGAATTAAATTGCTATTACAACCTAAAATTAAATATGCAACTAAAAACCTTCTAAAAAAATTAAAAGACAAAATAAGAGGGTTCGAAAATTACAGAAAGAACTGAAAAACTTAAAGATAGAGAAGAATAGAATACAACATAAATTATTAGAATTGGAAACACTTACTAAACTAAAAATATCAACGAAGGTCCAAAAAAAACAAGAAATAATACATAAGCAGGAAAACTACTCTTCAAAGCTGCAAGGAAAAGGAAATAAAATAGAAATATCAGAAAGAGACAGCGCACAAAGCGGAAAAAGAAAACAGAGCACAAAAACACTGACAAGAACAGAAATGTTTGCGGACAGAATAGCGAGTGGAGCAACCCAACTAATGCAACAATTGGAAAATGCAAAAATAACAAATTACTGTCAACCAGGGGGAAATCATAAACAAATATTGAAGCACTTTGATTTATATACCAAAGATTTGAAAGAAAATGACTTAGCGGTAATACTATAGGAAACTACGACATTAAAATGGGGACATCATATGTGGATGAAATTCGAAGAATTGTGAGCAAAGAAAATAGAAAATTCAACATTTTGTTAGGAAGTATAATATACGACAACATAAATGATGATAAAATCTTTACTATTAACAAAGAACTCTTTAATCTAGCTGCGGTATCTGAGAATGTCAGATATCTTGAAATAAATGTAAAAGTCAAGGTAAAAGTAAAAAAATATAGTGATTGAGGAAACTGTTAAAAGTATCAAAGATAGTCACTTTAATGCTTCGTCTTATTTGCACTTTATAAAATTAAATTCTAATTTAAATTGTTCACTAAATTTTTTAGACACAACCAAGACTCCATTAACTGGTTAACGATTGTGCAGGCTAATATTCAGAGTATTAATAATAAATATTTAGAGCTAGAATTATTAACAGAAAATACAACTTGTGATGTGCTTTGTCTAACAGAGACTCGGACCAATGAATTAAAATTAGGCGTAATGACTATCGAAGGCTTTATGCTTGTATCATATTACAATAAGATGTTATTTGAACATGGAGGTACAGCTATTTTTGTTAGACACTCACTTGAATATAAAGTAAGACATGACATTGTAAAGTTGAGTATTGAAATGAATTGTGAACTAGCGGCAATTGAAGTAAAATCGTCTAAATTAGTTATTATTTGTGTATATAGACCTGATTATGATTATTTAATATTCGAAGATATTATGACTAAAGTTATAGAAAAAATAGGTAGGGAAAACAAAAGAATTGTACTTGCAGGAGATTTTAATTTAAACCTATTGAAACCAAACAATAAAGTATGCAAATTTTTAAAAGTATTGAGTGAATTAAAATGTAAATTCGTCTTAAATGAGCCAACCCGAACCAAAGGCAAGTCTTCCACATGTATTGATAATTTCATCTTAAATGACGATGATGATTTTCAGTATCACAGGGTAATAGGCGCGTAAAGTATTAGACGTAAAGTTATCAGATCATAACGTCATAGAATTAAAGTATAAACTGAATTCTAAGTATCCTAAACCAAAGGAGAAGACTGAGGTTAGATCTAGAATAATATCTCGGGAAAATATAAAATATTTTCATTACTTGTTCTGTCAAGACTTTGAATGTGTAAGAAAGGATATAAATTTGAAACTTGACGCAAATGAGAAAATGAACATTCTGATAGACTATATACAATATTGTTATTACACTACATTTCCATTAAAAACATTTAAACCTATAAATAACAAGAATAAATTAACAACCAAAGGTATTTTGATATCTAGAAATAATCTTAAAAAACTCGAAATATTACATAACTTGTATCCAGATAAAATTAGAAAATCCAATCTAAATAGATATAAGAGAATATATAGAAAAGTACTACAAACAGCCCAAAAACTTAGGAACGCGTCTAGAATTAAAAAATCCACGAATAAAATTAAAACTACTTGGACAATTATTAAGGAACAAAAAAATCATGTTAAAACACAAGGAATAAATAAAATTACTAAAATTAAAAATCACTGTGGGGACATAATTACAAATAATAAAAATAAGGCAAATAGTTTCAATGTGTTCTTTTGCAATATAGCTGGTAAACTAACGGAAAATTTAGAGGTTAAGTTTGAAAAATGTAGCAAATATTTAAAAAAACCTAACAAATAATAAAATTCGCTTTCATAAAATAAATAATTCCGAATTTTGGAATATTATTCATAGTTTAAAATGTAAAACGTCTAGAGTCATACGATATGTCAACAAAAATTATTAGAGAACTTATCATCCACAACAAAGACATGTTTGATATAATATTGGAAGTCTTGAATGATTGCATCATAGAAGGAATTTTCCCAGATAGCTTAAAAATAGGAAAAATTGTGTCACAGTTCAAAAAAGGACAACCTATTGAAATTGGTAATTACAGACCGGTGTGTATATTACCAGTTATATCAAAGATTTTAGAAACTGTCTTAAAATCTAGGATATTAGACTACTTTGAAAAAAATAATCTTATTTACAGACTGTCAATTCGGTTTTCGCAAAAAAAAGATCAACGGAAATGGCTATTAGAAAAACAGTATACTTTATATTGGACGCTTTGGATAGATCGCAGAAGGTATCTAGCATTTTTTGCGATTTATCTAAGGCGTTCGATTGTCTGAGGCATGATATCTTAATTCAAATTAGATTTGAAGGAAAAGAATTGAAAATAATGCAGTCTTATCTTAACAATCGAATGCAAATAGTTAATTTAAATAATACTAAGTCTGATTCACAACATAGTTACATTGGCGTTCCGCAGGGCTCTATCCTGGGACCACTGCTGTTTTTAGTGTATGTGAACGACCTTGCAAATAATACTTGTAAATATACCTGACTGGGCGATGGTTACACTATTCGCGGATGATACACAGGTTGGTGTTAAAGATAAAAATGCAGAACAAGTATCCAAGAAGACAAATGATATTTTAAATATGCTTAAAAATTGGTTTGAAACAAACGGAATAATTTTGAATGCAGAAAAAAGTATCATTATTAATTATGCAAGCAAAAAAACAAATAAAGTCACAAAGAGTGACGTCACATTTTTAGGGTGTACTTTCGATTCCACTTTAAGTTATGAAACCCATATAGATAGCGTCTGTAAAAAGTTAGCCAGTGCTAATTACTCTTTATTGAAGCTTAAGCCCATTATTGACAAGAAAACTCTTATATCCGTCTACTTTGCATATTGTCACTCAATTATTAGCTACGTGATTACGATATGGGGAAATGCTACACAAATTGAAGAGTACTGATTTGTCAAAAAAGGTCGATTAGAATTATACATGGATTGCAAAGATCGACATCAGCTAGAGCCTATTTCCAAAAAGCGAAAATTATGACTGTCGTTTCGTTATATATTTATAGATCGCTTCTAAAAGTGCACCAGGAAAAAAGTAAACTACCAATGAAGAAGCACGTACACAACTACAATTCTAGAAATCGCGAAAGATTAGTTGTTTCAAGAACCAGATTAGTCAGTGTTCAAGCAAGGTTTTGCAATAAAAATTAAAATGTACAATAAATTGCCAATAGAAATAGCAAGACTTCCGCTAAATGCGTTTCGACAAGTGATAAAAACATCCTTTTTAAATCACGCTTTTTTACAACACAGAAGAATATATGCATTGTTCATTTTCTGACTTGTTTGACACATAAAATAATGTACTGTAAATGAGATGTATTTTAATTATATTATTGTAATTGTATAATTTGTAATTTCAACTATATTATTGTATCTATATAATTGTAATTGTAATTTTGACGTACCAATGTTACGTAACGTAACGTAATGGCAAATAAATAAAATAAAAAAACAAATAAATAAATTAAAGTTTATACACATACTGAGTTTAATTTAAAAATATTTTACTTTACTTTTGGGACTGTTCTTTTAGACTGTATGACTAACGAAGAACTGACTGCCTACCCCCCCCCTCCCCCCCGGCGCCCGGGTTGAGCAGCAACAGGCGCGCGCCGGCCGCCACCGCCAGCAGGCTGAGCCCGACGTCCGCGACACTGCGCGGGTACTGTATGGTGTACTCACTGACGACGTCACGCGCGGGCGGCGGGTCCGCGAGCAGGTCGTCCGTGCGCTGGGCCACGCGGTGCGCGCCAACCCCCGCACCCGGGTTGAGCAGCAGCAGGCGCGTGCCGGCCGCCGCCGCCAGCAGACTGAGCCCGGCGGCCGGCGTCCAGGCCACGCGCGACACGGCGCAGCCCAGCGCCAGCGTACGCAGACACCGCCCGCTGCTCGTCTCCCAAACTGCAATATTATACAATAATGGTGACAAACGACTGTGCCCCATGCACATCTACATTTATCCTCGATCAAAAATCAAAATCACATGCGTTATAACCCCTGAGAGGACTAAGATGGAATGCCTCGTTTCGAGTAAAATGGGTTTTCGGTTCTTTACACTAATCATACAAAACACAGGAGGATGTATACAATTATTGCTGTAAATCAAATAAATCCATAAATCAATCAAATCAATTAGTTAGAGCTTAGCCAACCAATTATACACCCACACATTTTATTAATTTGATAGAAGTAAACAATCTTTATCTTCGTGAACATTTTCATCCAAAACACTATAAAAATTAATGAAATCAACTATAAATCACATAAATATAGCGTGACTTAACGTCAAACTTATTAACACAAGTTATTATTCAAGCTTAAAAAAGCATAGTATTGACACAAGATATACAAACTCTTGACGGTGCCGTCGTCGCTGCCGGAGACGACATACTGGCCAGATGGATCGAAGTCTATGGAGCGCACCAGATCGGTGTGTCCCGTGAACTTCAGCACTTCAGTCGTAGGGAAGGGTTGTAGATCACGAGGAGACGGCAGCTTTGGCACCAAATCCTCTGGGCTGATCGTTAACTGAAATTACAACATTGATAAAGTGAGATGCTGAGATGCCGTTGCCGTTACAGGCTCTTAAAGTCCACTACCAACCAACGAGTCTTGCCATAAAACCGCGTTATTTAATTGTTGCATTTAGACTTAGTTACGCCTCTTTGCAAGCGCGTTGGCAACCGCAATGTTTTGTTTTTAGTCGTTATTACGATTACGCTGTGTCCATCTCCTGATTTGTTTCCCTCGTAATATTTATTTACATCTTTATTAACACTTACATCACTAGCAGCGAAAATTAGAACAATTGTGTAATAACAACACAAAGTATTTGTTTGCATAACTTTTTTTTATAATATTTTCCTGTGCATGAAAGGCAAAGGCATCTTAGGTCATAGAGCCACGAACACAATCACAGAGCTCACCCGCATCTTGATGGCGCGCGGCGCCAGGTAGAGGTCGAGGCAGCGCAGGAAGCGCTCGCGCGTGAAGCGCTCATAGGCCGCCACCTCGCGCAGCGCGCCGTGCCGCTGCGGCAGGAACGTGTACTTGCGCTTCCACGGTGTCTGCTGCAGCTTATTCCACTCCTTCATCTGCGAACACACTCGACTGTTTTACGCGAGCCCACGCAAACATTTGTTAGATAAATTCAATAACAGTACAGTAATTAAAATATTGATCTGTAGATCGTCTCATCGGTAGGACTTCACCGAGCTGCCTCGCTGGACAAGCGGGTGGGCAACCTCAGTTTTTTAATAAAACTTAAAGTAAATTTACAGCCTTTATACGTCCCACTGCTAATCACAAGCCTCCCCTCGTTTCTGAGAGGGTATTAGGGCAAAGAAGTGTCCGCCGCACCGCCCCAATGCGTGTTGGCGAACTTCACATGTCTTCGAAATATTTTTTTCTTATTCCTCAGACAGACAGGTTTCCTTACGATGTTTTCCTTCACCGCCGAGCACGTGATAAATCAGCACTTAAAATTACAATTAACAATTTCATTGGTGCCGGCGGGGATCGAACCCGGGTTATTCGCGTTCTGTTCTATTTACAGCGGGCGTTAACCATCTGAGCTACCACGGCTCTCCAAGTTTTTTTTTAATATCGAGTTATTATCAGAAAGATGTTGCTGCCCATTTTCTGTTACTTTAAATATGTAACAGAGTGCTTCCATTGCGTCAGGTGCAGCTTATTTCACTACTTCATCTGCGAACAGCCCACACTCTTTTACGCAAGTTCATTAAAACATTACATGAATAGAGTTAGGACAATTAGAAAGTTCAATACACGGTAGAGCTATGCTGCAGCTATATTCTTTGTAGCATGAACGAGTCACTCTCAACTGGGGTAGGAGTACACTCTCACAGGATACCTGCGTAAAATAGCAGTTTACACTGTAGAGGACTGGAGACTCTTTATATTAGAAACGAGGCATTCTATCGTAGTGTTCAAGGGTGACAAGGATAGGTGTAGATGTGTATGGGCCACGGCATGCAGTCATTATCAGGTGGAGTGTGTGCTTGTTTGTCACATTTATTCTAAGGAAAACCATTTGGCAGGTGCAGAGTGGAGTGGTACCTCCTTGGCGTCCAGCAGGTACTCGGGCGGCGGGTTGTAGCTCTCGGCGTGTCCGGGCGGCGCGCGGCGCGGCGCGGGCACGTGCCGCTGCACCCCGCGCGTTCCCTCCCCCTCCCCCACACCCGCACTCGAGCCCCACAGGTCGTAGAACTTGTGCTCCTGCAACACGACACATCCGCTCACTCGCCACACCATCCAGCACCACACCGCTGCATAGCAAATGGTAACAATGAGGGTATCCCCGACTCTATGCCTCCAGGGCGGCGCCCCTTGCCAAACACGTAGAATATGACAAATTTTATAACAGGGGAAGTTAATTTATTACAAAATTTAATTAATATATCTTTATGAATATAAAGCCAGATTCATAAGGTTGCATAGCCTTCAATATTGTTAAGCAAGTCAGAAGAAAAAGCGCTTCCAAAATGATTTATCTGAGTGTAATGTAAAGTGTTCTGTGTGTAATGGTAAGTGATATATGAATACAATGTTCTACAAAAATATAGATCTTTACTCCATCTAAAAAAATTCTGCAATACCATATGCCCCATTTCTTATACAAAAGTTATTATAAGGTATGGCAAGTTAATCCTTAGAAACGAAAGTTACTTCATTATCAAAATTTATGAAGATAAACTTAGCTCTTTGTAGCATGTTATTTGGACGCATAGTTTATAATGAGAAATGGCGGGCGAACGACGTATAAGCCGTAGCTGATGAGGAACGAGAGAAACCAGCAGTGAACATTTCTATGAGCGAGGTTAATTCAATCATTTTAGCTAAAAAAACTGACCAGATTATTGTGGTGCTTTTATCTATGGACATATGCGCGATATATAAGTTAAATTTGATCCATATTCCCCCCGTTCCCGGGTGTGAGTAACCCCCCTCCCTCCCCGCATCATAGAAAGAATCCCGAAGTGCAGTTTTTTTTTAAAAGAAAACCGTACACAATACATGAAAAGTATGTACATAGGTATTAAATGATCCTTGATAAATTTGCTATCAACCTCTTATACTTATTAATCAGTTAAATTTTAAAATAGCATAGCAACATGAGATAAAATAGTTTAAAAATAAATTATACCTCTTTTTGAAGAACATATTCTATTCTTTGTCATACATATCTTATAAACTTTAAGCAAAAAAAAAACGATAAACGATAATGATAATAATAACTTTATTTTGACATGAAATATTACAATAAATGTTTAATTGGATCCATAGGCTCCCAAACTACTGTAAAACTGTGTTTCAGGAGCCAGTGGCTTCTCCCATAACATTGCACTATTAACTTATGCCGTAACATAAGGTACATTATAAGTTATTAAACAGAACTACCTAAATCAAGTAATCACTTTTTTACATTATACTCCTTATTTAGTCTGTTATATAAGTGTGGAACAATAACATCAAACTGCTTCTGGCCGAATCTTGTTTTTACTTTGGGAATAGGACAACGGCCAAGCCTTGAAGATGATTTAGGCAAGTAAGGACCATTTTCTTTCTGTGATAATGGCGTAGACTTTCGTAAATAAATAATTTTCTAATACTAAGAACATTGGCTTTGTCATAGACAGCTGTTGTGGGATGTCTGAAGGGTAAGGAGAATAACCCTTTCAGTACTGCACGTTGTGCGCGTTCTGCGGTGATCAAGTAGGATTTTGCTGCAGTGCCCTAAGCACAGATACAATACCTAATAATGCATTGACCAAGGGATTTATAGATTTGTAATGCTAATTTGTGGTCAACAACTGTTCTTAGAGTTTTAAAAACATAGATGAGTTTTCTCAATCTTGTAGACAATGATATTATATGCATTTTCCAATTTATTTTATCATGAATTTCGACCCCAAGGTACTTTATTAAACCTACACGCAACAAAAAGGAACAGTTACACTGGTCACGTCGACTACTACGATTGCATGGATATGTATGAATTTTAATTATAACGTCGGCATCAGGTCCTCCTGATGTTTTGCTATAGCACATGAACTAAATATATATATATAGTATATATATATATATATATATATATATATATATATATATATATATATATATATAATATATATATGTCGGAAATAGTGTGTAACACGATAAACCAAAATTGTGTGGGAAATAACAGGATAGTGTTAATTATTAAAAATGGTAAAAATGTGAGAGCTGATGTTCAACTTGCTCTCTTGCTTGCGCAATTTATTGTTATCAATAATAGGACAGCGTAACGCTCTATACATTCAGCATAGAGTAATTACAGTTTTGACCATACTGCAGTGTGTCCCCGTCACAATTACACACCGGCGCAATGTGAAGGACACAACTACATGATTGTTGGAGCGGAAAACCTAGTGGTTGTTTTTATGATGAGGCAGCACCACTGTCCCCATTTGACAAGGGTTCAGTCGAGCTACCGCATATTGTTTCCATTGTAATGAAAGAGATCTAAGACCACGCACTTTTAATTTTGCACTACAACTTTATTCTACACTTCCTATTATGAGACTCACAAATAATACTTGCAAAGTTTTACCAGGAAAATAGAACTACACTGACGAGCGCTGGAACTGAAGTGATTCTGTTGCCGCGTTCATTCAATAAGGAAAACGTAATAACGACTTAGGTGTGCTCTGATTGGTCGACGATTTGATTGGTCAATACTTGACTAAACAATAACTTTTTATTGAATTCATTAGGTTACTTAAGCAATTTCAATTATCAGGATTATTAATCAAATCGACAATTATTATATTCTACGATTTAAAACCATATTTGAGTTAAAAGTTGATAATGGAATAAATAGTTGTTTTACCAGGAATTAGTGGTCAATGAAGAGATTTGTAAACCAAAAGAGTTTTCAAGAACTAGCTAGTTACATGTTATGTTTCTGATAAATTGCTCTTATTAAATTGTAGTATTAATAATTATACACCGTTGATTATTATAATCAATTAAAAGACAATGCAAAGCTTATGCTTTGTCAACCGATGATGTACTTGCTCCGACATATATATATATATATATATATATATATATATATATATATATATATATATATATATATATATATAGCCATTGCGTCACTAGTATTCATATTTCGTGGCAGATTGCGCGAAAACTTTAAGTGATATCGCATTCGTACAAGGTTGATAGCATATTAAGGATTATTACGTACCTTATAACAGTGGTAGAGCCACGCGGCAGCTTTTGCTGTTGTACGGATGGGCCGGCTCAAACCGGGTAAGTACCACGGCCTCACTGAATACCAGCGTGAAGTTTCGCTTGGTTAGTACAGGTAATAACCCCCCCCCCTCCGTAACATAGTAGTGGAATCTAAAAATAAAATACAACCTCGGGATTGTTTTGATAATGGAGAACCCCTCGGCAATCTTGAAGTCTTGAAGGCGACGACCATCAGCTACTGATGCCTCAATAGGTCCCATAGCGGTAATGTCAAAACAGACCGACTTATCGAACAAGTCCAAATGGCTGCAGGTTCCTTGCTACAACAGATCCCATCCGCAGGGACCGTAATTTCGTAATACTTGGCGAGTTTAAAGCCCACCACGTCGAATGGCTCCGTTTACGATCATGCGGGGAGATGTGTTTATGACTTTGCCTTGGCATACCGTCTGACACAACAGGTTACTTGGTCAAGGTGAATTCCAAATGTGGAAGATCATACACTTTCCTGTTGGATCTTCCGCTGCCTCTCATACGGACGGATATCAGGTCTCCGTCAACGCCCCTCTCGGCTCTTCGGACCATTGTCTAATCCGGAGTGCCACTCGCGCTCGCTTCGCGGTTGCGTTCTGGACGCTTTTGACGTGTTTAACATTACAGGGGGCGGAAGAGGAATTACAGCGGAGCTTCTGAAAGCTGGAGGAAAATCAATACCTAAAGTCCTTCAGGAAGCTCTTCAATTCCGTCCTCCATAGTGGCACTACTCCGGACGCTCTCTTGAAGAACTACAGACCGATTTCCCTTCTGAGCCGCATCTACGTGCTGTTTTCGAGTCATTACGAATCGTCTCGCACACAGACTCGACGACTTCCAGCCTACCGAACAAGCCGGTTTCCGAAAAGGCTTTGATGCCGTCAAAATTTGGGCAGTCCCTTCAGCGGTGCCAAGTTAACTGATGGTATATCGAAGTACTGAAATGTTTGTACAGTAGGTCTACGATGGCTATCCGAGTACAGAACCAGAGTACGAAACCTATTCCACTGCAGAGAGATGTAAGACAGGGTGACGTTATATCACTGGAAGACGTTTTCAAGCTACTGGACTGGAAATGATACGGTATTAACGTCTATGGCAAGTACATCACTCACCTTCGATTTGAAGACGATAAAGTCCTTATGGCAGAATCGATGGAGGACCTAAGCACTACACCTATGGCGGTAGTTGTTGGGAGAAATAAGCTCGAATTTGTTGACGAATATGTTTACCTAGGACAAATAGTCTGGCTTGGTAAGTCCAACTTCGACCGAGAGGTCGATCGACGGACTCAAATCGGCTGGGCAGCGTTCGGAAAATTATGAAACATCTCGTCAGGCATACCTCAAAAATAGATTACACAACCAGTGCATGCTGCCTGTGATTTTTATATCATAGGTCATATTAAAGGTCCTCGAGTGGCGGCCTCGTAACGCCTCCCTCACGGCCTCCCACTAGATGGAGTGACGCAGGTAAGACATGCAGGAAGTCAAGGGATGCAGGAAGTCAAGGGATGCAGGTAGCTCGGGACCGTGCTTTGTTGCGTTCCTTGGGGGAGGCCGCTATGTTCAGCAATGGACTTATGAAGACTGTAATGATGAATGACGAAATACGGTTTCCGTCGGGGTCGCTCAGATGATATCTTCTACGTAACTCATATAGATGGGGGGAGGCAGCAGAGTCCAAGGGGTAGACTTTGGCCGTTAGTTTAGACATAATGAAGGCCTTCGATTGGCTTATTTCGAAGCTTCCTCCCTATGGGCTTCCCGAGAAATTGTGCAATTGGATCACCAGTTTTTGGCTGGTCGGAGCATCAAGGTCGTAGTAGACGAAACATGGTCTGACTACAATTCTTTTGATTGATTATAAGGAAGGTATTTTTATAACCTATAATGGGAGAATACTACGCCTCTTTACTAGATTAATTAAAAGAAGCTATGGAAAAAAATGGCGAGTATACAATGCGCCCGTGCACACAAAACTGAGGTAGAATAATTAAGCAATTTCAATATCATGAGGAAAATCACAAATCTATCTATAAAAAAACACAAAAAATGTTTCTACATATGTTCGTTATAGACTTTGAAACCATCCAAACTATTTTCTACATTCTTAAAGGTACTATGTTCACAAATGAACATAATGAATAATGAAATGAACATGAAATGAGAGGTCTAGTGTTATGTTTCTCATATTAATAGAATTGTGAAGAAAGCTGCACAAATGCTAGGTTTCCTTAAACGCAATACCAGAGGCATCTAAATAAGCACTCAAATCTTACTCTTTAACACCCTGGTAAGGAGTCAACTGGGATATGTGAGTACAATATGGAACCCAACATACGCAGTGCACTCGCATAGAATAGAAGGTATCAGAGAGCTTTTACAAGACATCTTGGCTTCATATGTAGTGGAATTTCACATAGATGTCCCTAGGAACAGCGATTGGCATTTTTTGAAATACCTTCTCTAAAAAGCAGGACAAAAATTCACCTGCTGGTATTATATAAAATAGTAAACGGATGTATTGCCTGCTCTGAACTACCATACAATATCCCTCGTCGTCCAACAACAAAACTTTCAAACACTCCTCAATCTAGGACTAACATAGGGTCATATGCTCCACTACCGCGAATGTGTGACAGTTACAATTCACTCTGTGGTGTGTTGCCTACTGTCGATATTTTTCATGATACTTTCCCTAAATATAGGTAAAATGTGATAGATCACTATTATAAATGATTTGTGAATAATTTAGTTATAATCTAATATCCATGTTCCATCCATGTACACATCAGCCCCTAGATTAAGCCTATTCTCAATAAAAATGTTATAATGTGTGTACTCATGGTAACTATGAATAAATAAATAAGAGATCCAGAAACATTGTCACTACATGCTAAACACTAATTGCTTATCAGATCTGGACCCTTTAAGCAATTAATAAGAAATTAGTTTTTTTGTAGAAATGCTAGATCTTAATATTGATTCTTGATCCTACAATAACCGCGAGATACCCTGACCACTTTTACAACCTTACCATACCATAACAGTAATAAATACAGATCTCGGAACTAAAGAGTCTCGCCTACACTTAGTTTAGCAATTAGTTTTATATAGTAAATGGAGAACACAAAACTAGGACATAAGTAAAAGTACAAAAAAACGCAACTTCCAACTGACCTTATTCTTCTTCCTCTCCTCAGCGATCTGCTTTCTTGTCTTCATCCATCCCATTTTCAGCGCATGTACTATGCGTGACACGTGGCGCTGCTCCTCACGCGACGGTAGAAAAGAGCGCTTGTGTTCAGGAAACGCGCGCAGCGGAGTCGCTAAGACCTCACGACTAAACCACTCTACCCAGGGCTAGAAAACATCAATTATTTTAATATGTCTGCCCGAAGTTTCAGCTTCGGCCAAAATAACGACTTGCAGCGAAACGAGAGAGATAGCGAGAGCACGACGGATCTCCAGATCAACTTCTAGAGATAATTAAAATTACATTTTTATATTACACAGTCAACATAAACCTTTAAGTTTTAAAATGTTTTATATAATTAATTTTAGCCAATATTGAATTGAACTTCTTAGGGTTTCTATTATATTGTGGATATTGGCGACACTGCTAATGAGACATGTTATTATAAATTTATTTATATATTTAGTTTACCTGATACTCATCATGCTCAGGGTTGGGAACGCGTCCTTCTCGTATCCTTGCAATAAGTTCAAGGTCTTGTTTGGAAAGTATGATATCCTGCCCTGTGCCTGGATCCCGTACTGTGCGCCAGAATTCTGGATCCTCACATTTCCTATTAAGGTTTGGTGATTATTTATTAAGGTACTGCAATCACAATTTCATCATTACAGAACTTGCATTACGTAAACAAATAATACGTTTTTTATACAATAAGGATGACTAAAGCGCACACAGTCCACCTGATGGTAAGTGGATGCTGTGGCCCATAGACATCTACATCTATTCTCAATTAAGAATCAAATGCCTTATTTACAGTAAAAAGGGTCTCTAATTTTCCACCCTCGAAACGAAATACGAAACACAGCAGCATATAGCTGTTATTTTAAGCTGGTGTTCTGTCAGTATGTGGTCCTACCCTGGTCGAGCCGATCCATGCCAGATCCATAATACAGCTGTAGCGTAGCTCTATCATGTTAAACCATAAAACATGGATCTAATATAATACAAATATATAAATTTTTTATTTGACCTTAGACCTTTTGGCAAGGTAATTTGTCATGACGCACAATATTCAAAGCTCATTCAGTCTATTTGTGTAATATTTTAACAATATTTATCGATAATATCTACTCTGTGCGACTGTTTGAGCGCAGTTGTGTTACCTGAGGAACTCATCTATGCGATCTCGCCTGGGCGGTCGTGCAATGCGACGACCTTCTACGTCGTAGCCCACGTGCTCGTATTCATCGTACCACCAGGAAGGCACAGCGCCAGCCGTGTTCACGCGCTCTTCCTCGTCAGAAGTGTCGCCCGACTCGTACTCGTCTGTGCGTCATAATCATGTTACGCCCAAGTTGACAACATTAAACGAAAATCCAAAGACTTCTATGTATGTTACTAGAATGAAATTACTAATCAGAAAAAACTATGTGTTATAGCTGCACGGGTGGGTATTTATTTAAGACAGTTATTAATTTTAAGCAATTATGAAATAAAATTACGTATTTCAGATCACGTTGACAAAGTGCGCACATAAATAGTAAGTGTTTTCTTAGTCATATTAAACATAACTAGTCTTAGACTATAGAAAACGAAGTTGGTAGCCACTAAAACAAAAAAAATGGTCTTCTCGTCCGCTCACAGTTGACTAATGGTGTTATGGAGAATTGACCGTAAGTTAGTGTGCAAAGTACATATTTAGGGCGCAGAGTCCGTTTTGTATTGTTGGTAAAAGTCTTTGTAAATGTCAGATGCTATTAACTGGGCCGGGGACGTATGTTCCATCAGTATTTGTTTATACAAACAACACATCAATAATACATTTACATCTTTACATCTTTCCCATGGGTGACTAGAAAATCTCAGCTTCCTTTAGCATATGCCTTATGTTAAATATCCAAAGTCGGGCAGGAGGTGCTAATGGTGTGAATTGACTGGTACTGCAATTTCACACCAGCCAACCATGCATACGGATTACAAGTAAGCATGCTCGACACACAATGTCCATTAGGGAATCTATTTCTATTTCTATTTGACACAGTTGCCACAGAAGGTTGGCAACTGCAGTTTGACACAGCCAAACACTGCAGTGCACGTCTTTTGACACAGGCCAAGGTTGGCATAGTTTTTGACACGTGCCATACACCCAATCACTCAGGACACATTGCCAAGTGCAAATTACACGCCGTGACCAGTTGCCAAAGTGCAAGAGTTTTTTTGACACAGTTGCCACAGAAGGTTGGCAACTGCAGTTTTTTTATCATTTCAAGTGGTTATCGGGAAGTCGCTTCTGCCCATTACCTGATACAATTTCCCTCCGTGGCCTCTTATGACACCCATGGGATGACGTTGGGAAGTGGATATTTTTATACTGCCATATGTTAGTAATTTATAAATTTATAGTATGGTATGGTACGCTAGTAATTTATTTGCAAATATTTGCAATAGAAATAATGCAAATAACCTTTCTCTTGTACTGGTTGTATCGTAACATTAGTCTCTTTGATTTTATTTGCTAAAGCATCAATACTATCATTTGATTTTTGGACAGCTTTTGTTTTTGTTGGTTTTTGTTTGAACTCTTTCTTTTTTATCACTTTCCTCTCTTTCTTTTTCTTAGACCCATCACTAGACCCAGAAAGGGTGGGACCAGTTCCTGACTCTGCACCACTATCTTCACTTTCTGCTTTTGTGGTAGGTTTTGTTTCTTTTACTTTCTCTGGTTTATCTTCATCACTATTACTGTCTCCATCCTCATCATCACTGCTTTCAGCATCCTCTGATTCATCATCTCCCTCAGAATCAGTAAGGTCCTGCAAAAACATTGCTTTTTTTTTTTAAAAGCGACTACTTACAACATTATTTACATTACTAGTGTGGACAGACCACCTAATGGAAAAAGTATGCAAGTAGTAGGAGAAGTATGCAAGTAGCTTAGAAAAGATATATGGCAATCTGCGGAGGAGACGTATATTTTTGCTGTGGATTTTTGATAGGCTGTGATGATTTTGTAAATGTTGCAGTAAAATTGATTATAATCACTTAATATGCTATTTGTAGTTAGACAAATTAATTGATATCAGTCAGTACAGTTTCATTCAAGGTCTAAAAAGTACTACTGATGACATTAATGAAGCCAGGGAGGGTATACAAGATGCCAAATTTAGGCATTACGGTGTCTAAATCAACTTAACAAACGTTATTCTAGAGTACCCTTAATCATGGGTGTGGCCCAAGGATAAATATGGGAACCATTCGTTATCATCATCATTAATGCCTATTAAAGTCAACAACAACAACTTGAACAAGGTTTTCCCATAGATTGCCATGTAAGGTGAATATTTGCCACAGTTGCCACGGGTGCCAGGCAGGTTGGCAACCAATAATATTTCTTTACTTTATAGTCGTTTTTAGGAAGACCCTGCTGTCCACCTCCTGGTTTGTTCTGCTTTGTTGCCTCTATTGACATCCACCGGACAATACGACACCAATACTACTTTTGATATATATAAAAACTTTAACAAAATAGTGTTGTTTGTTGAAAATACCTCTATTGTGTTTAAATTTGAAAGAGGGAAAAACTTATTGGGCAATGTAAATGATACTGTTTGTCAAGTAATAATAGTAAGTAGTAAACTTCAAAAGAAGAACTGTTTTTTCGGTGTGGCATTCATAAACTGCTGAAAAAGTGGTAAAATGTATAAACTAGTGACGAAATGGATATCCAGTAACTATCTGGTAATTATATCTGGCCTAAATTACTATCCGGCCAGATACCAAACAACAAACAGCTAAGAGAAATACAAAATATGATATTTAGTTAAGTAAGTACTTTATTTATGTCACTTAACTAATATATTCAGTAATCACAAAATTTTCATTTTAAAACTTAAAAAATTAATACTCATACTACACTAAAATTATGCAATATAAATACTAATTTCTCTGCATTGAAAGGTAACGCCTGTAATGCCTGGTTTTTTTTTACAATTAATATTTTGATTAAAATTTGTATTCACTTTCAATTACAAAATCAGTTTCATTTCAAAAAATGCATTTTAAAATCGACATACTATCCGAGCGCCTCATTAATCTGAATGGAATGAAAATTGTGTGTTTTTTTAAATAGAATAAGGGTGACAAATGAGCACACAGTCCACCTGATGGTAAGTGGATGCTGTGGCCCATAGACATCTTCATCATCTACATTTATCTTCTATTAAAAATCAAAATGCAGATATGTTGCCAGCCTTGAGGACTGAGATGGAATGTCTTGTTTTCAGTAAAAAGGGTCTCCAGTTCTCTACACTCACCATATGAAATACAGTAGCATTAACCTGCTATTTTACACAGGTATTCTGTGAGAGCATGGTCCTACCCCGGTCAAGCCGACCCATTCGTGCCACAACAATATAGCTGTAGCATGGCTCTACCATGTAAAAAATGTTCAAATTATCAAGGCCCTACTGTATTATTAAATTAGTTTCATTTTAATCAAATACATTCAAATTAGATGGCTGATTTGATACTCAAATACACACACAATGACTGCTGTATATTTATCATATATAATGTTTCAATTCTGTTACATGGCATTGAAAAAAAGTCATCAGAATATTGCCAGATCTTCTCTCAAGAAGTATTAGTTTTTAATTGGTAGCAAATTTTGATATAAGCTAAGCCAGCTAGATATGAGCTAAATATGAGCTCAAACAAGGCTATATTGAAATTTTGACCAACTATAGATTTGACTTTAGACTTATTTCACTTATGTGTTAAATTGAATACTTAATTTTTTTATTGATGGTAAGTATATTCTGTGACCCCATAAACATACAAAATGAAGGAAGGAGGTAATCTCACCTTATGAAAAAGAGTATGATTATGATGCTATTTATAATGGCATTGTGTGATTGTGGTCATTTCCTGGTAAATCCAATCCATTTGTGGTGCTGCTTTAAAATAATGAGGTGTAGCTCTTTTATTTATAATATTTCTAAGTTTCTTCTTAGAAATATTATAAATAAAAGGGTAAAAATGACACTTACTGATGATTCTGCAAGGGACTCATTGGCTTCATCACTCAATAATGAATCTGCATTATCATGGAAGAGAATTTCCTGCAATTCATATAATTGTTACATTAAAATCCATATTCGCAATACGAAGTTAGTTTTATTTTTGGTTCTATATATAAATTTTAAGCATTATATTTACATCTCGTTCAGTATCAGAGGCTGCATTATCATCATCATCATGCTCCGAGTCTGTAGAGTCGTTCTCAGCATCCAGTTCACCGCGGATTAAGCCTACATCCTCGTCGGACTTGCTGTTCTGCAAATGTAATTATGATTTTAGAATTATAATCACACGAATGATAAAACATAAGAAAGTTTATCAAAACGCGGGCTACATTATCTTCTATTTCTTTAGATTCATCAGAAAGTTTTCTTTTTAATAAACCCGTTTTATATGGCGGCATCTTAAGTCATAAAAAGCATAGTTTATTATAAGGTACTAAAATCGTAAATAAATCTTATTCAGCACGTGTTTGACTCAAACTGCTGATTCTGTCAAGTTCAAGTGTCAAATGTGTCAAATTAAAATACAAATCATGGGTAGGTATGTTCCGAAATACAACGCAGTGTACTGTCCAATGCAAATGACGTCATGAATCGACGAACGACGAATTATACTGGTGATTCGTTCCAAAACATTGGACAGTATATGACGTCATACTTTTGCGCCATTTGGAAAAGTGTTGGCGATTATTTTGTCATTTTGTGCTCCAAAAATCATTATATCCTTCTAACGGATATACCATCAATTATTCTATAATTTTTTGTATTAAAATAAATAGAACAAATTATATCTAAACAAATGCTGGCATGCTTCATTCAGCGCACACAGCTCCCAAAAGTATTCAAAAAACTACAAACAAGTTTTTAATAGCATGTAATGTTTATTCATGTCATTATATTACTTAAAACTAATATTGCACAAACAACTTATAAACTCTACTTCAAAAAAAACTTACCCTTTTTCCGCAATTAAAAATTGTTTTATTGTGACCGGATATCCGACGCAATATGGCGGCGGCACGCCAGTACAATATAGTGTCAATTGATGACGTCATTAGAATTTAACAGTGTACTGGGTTGTATTTCGGAACATACCCCAAGGGTATTGCCCCAACTCTTATTATGTTCCGAAATACAACTCAGTACACTGGCAAATGCAAATGACGTCATCCACTGACACTATATTGTACTGGCGTGCCGCCGCCATATTGCTTTCGGATATCCGGCCATATTAAAACAATTTTTAATTGTGTGTACGCCGAATGACGCATGCCAGAATTTGTTTTTATTTATTCAAATACAAAAAATTATAGAATAGTTGCTGGTATCTCCATTAGGAGGATATAATGATTTTTTGAGCACAAAATGACAAAATAATCGCAACATTTTTCCAATACGGCGCAAATGTATGACACTTATACTATCCTATGTTTTGGAACGAATCACCAGTATAGCGTCGATTCATGACGTCATTTGCAGTACATTACATTACAGTACACTAGGTTCTATTTTGGAACATACCCTATATATGTCAATTAACAACCATAGACAAATAAATATGTCTATAGTTCGTAAAATAACAGTATAAAATCACGCCTATGAAGTCCTGAATTTCTTAGTAGTACAGACACACTGACTTAAAAGTATATGGACTGGGCATACCTACAGAATTAGCGTGACTACCTACAAAAATCTGGCGCATAAAATGGCCGCCTTTTATAGGGTTGTAACTTAGCAATATGCGCAGCTGATATCGATATTTTAGCTAATATGAATTTGTTCTCATTTCATTTATAATCGAATTTGTTGCTTAATTTACTTTATTTACATAGGTACGGGGCTGAATTTTTAATTGTGAAATAACTTATCTGAGGAATAAATGTGATTGACAGTTTTATGGCTTTTGTCATCATCATCATCATCATTCTCTAGACCATTTCTCATTATCTGGGGTCGGCGCAGTAAATCTTCTCGTTCCATTCCTCTCTATCAGCCGTCATTTCCATACTTACTCCTTTCATTCTCATATCACTCTTCTCACAATCGATCCATCTTTTATTCGGCCTTCCTCTGCCCGTGTGTCCCTCCACAACAACACACAAGTTTTATGGCTTTTGTGTAGACAGAAATTAAATCCTTTTGTGTATAAAGTATTACTGGGATGGTGATCCCAGATCCCATATTATTAATGTAAAATAATAATGATTAGTTGAGTAAAAGTGAAATAAACTGTTTTAAAAATCAATACTTATTTATTATTAATTTTTCTGCACATAATTCATCACAAATAGTAAGTTATACAAGCAAGTTGTATATCATATTTTATTTATTCATTCGGATTTTAAACGAAAAATATTATTATATTTCGAAAAATTTGAAAATCTGGCATGATCACGAAATATGATATGCAGGATAACATCCTGGATATCATATTTCATCCACCGTTTCATGATCGTGATAGATTTTTATATAAACTATTATTGTTATTATTTGTTCATTTTTGAACAAAATTATTTTTTATAATAATTTCTATAAGACAGTTTGTCACTGCTTCTTCTTGCATGGTATCTGAACCTTTTTCTGCCACAAATCCCGCAATATATTCTAATACAGCAATTGATAAGGTTTTTTTTAAATAATTTAAATAACGACACTAATAGAGGCATACTGAAGACCACTTCTGAAAGTTTTTGTTTTTTCTCCCCCAACTAGTAGCGACAAACATACAATACAATAAACATACATACATATACTGTGATTTTTAATAACTACAAAACTTCTTAGCAGTCTTTTTATTGGCTAAATAAATTGCAAAATTATGCATCTTCCATAAAGTAATAATTAAAAAATACATCACAATACCATAACACTTAAAATAAGCTGTAAGACACTTATTTGCTTAGAAATATGCTGAAAAAGTTACAATATTATAAGTGAATAGTGACGCAGTTTAACTACTTCATTCATTGAATTACCGTCAAAACATAGAAGTATTTATAACACGTGACATGATGTAATTATGCTTCACAAAATTATTTTAATTTAAAAATCAATTGCCGTACGTTAGTTTTGCAAAAACTCAGAAATGCCTCTCAATTAAGAGTTAAAATCAAATCAATTTTAGGTAGTTAGGGTTATCTAGTAACATAATAAAATATAAATAGAAGAAAAACACCTACTATAAGATAAGATGAAGGCACTGCACTACACAACAAAAAAACTTTTAGCATTCAACAGTTTGACAGCAGTTCTACCACAAAACTCAGCGCTTAACATGGCGACGCAGTCACGAATGGATGAGATATTGACGTCACACGAAAGTGTTGTCAAAAGAAGAAATTGACAAACTGTTATTGTCTCCCTTTTCTAATAAAGCTACTGCTTTTTTAAAAAGAAACAAAAATATTTTTGACAAGTGTGTGTCGATATTATAGATATTTGTATAACTTATATTTCTATAGTAGAATACGGTGCCTCCATAGGTATTATATATATCTCTATGTACAGACAGTGCCTGTCAATGTCATGCTTTATGGGCATGTCTGTACTGTCTGTACGTAGACAGAGAATGCTATGTCTGTACTACAAAGAAATTCAGGACTTCATAGGCGTGATTTTACTGACAGCTGTCGCAGAGATCAAGCTATCATTTATGAACTATAGAAACATAGATCTATGTATAGAGTGTAGAGGTAAGGAGTACAGACTCTGTATGAAAAAGTGTCCGTAGGAAAGCGTTAAATAAGGGTGGCGCCACTGTATCTAGTCTACATTTTGAAGAACTTTTTATAATTTTTTTATTGCACAGACTTTCACCATGATTCTTTTTACAATAATTATTTTATAGCTTCCAAAATTTTTATTTTCACAATCGCTTTCAAGGTATTTTACGGCGATTTAACATACCCTGTAGCGCCGTAGGGGAGAGTTTTTGAACTGTTATTTACTGCTTACAGATGGACACTTTTTTGACTATTCTCCTATGGGAGTTGGTATTCCTTACTTCTACACTCCATAGATCTATGTCAAGGAACATACTACTATGGAGGTTAGAGAACAGGAGAACGATCGCTGTAAAAATAGTGTCCCAGAAATATAAACACAATAAGTGAGGTACTGCGATTGCTAAATTCGTTCAGTAAAAGTCGTTTTCAATCTATTTTTCCGATCGGATGCTAATCCACTTGCACATCCACGCATAATAAAATATTTTTCCATTTTTTAATGTTTCTTTTTGTCAAAAATTAAAAAATTACAGAGTACGAAAATTTTCTCACCAATGCCGCGAAGAAAATTTGTACATTATTCAACTAACTTCATCTACTTGTACTCATAAACAGCTAGCTTCGCAGCCATTATTCACCGACAGCAGCGCCGCTATAAATTCTAAAAATTTTCAAGGACAGGCGCGCTATGAGTAACGATCTTTCTCCCGTTCTCTAACCTCCATCCTTCATGCATACTACTCTCTGGCGAGAAATCTATGTCTAGCAAAACTTAGACAGAGAAACCTATAGACAAACTGACGCCTTCTTTCGAATTCGCACACGAAAAAAATAGATTTATGCATACGTCTTGCATATAAATGACAAAGAGCGGTGTAATTGTTCGTCCCTTTCTCCGTGCCGTTTTTTTTGTTTAGCAAACTACACTTTCAACAGTGGTAAAGCCACGCGGCAGCTTTGCTGTTGCATGTATGGGCCGGCTCAAACCGGGGTGGTACCATGACCTCACAGAATACCTGCATGAAGTGGAAGCTCTGCTTCCGCGTTTCGTCTGGTGAGTGCAGGTGGCCGAAGGCCCAAACCCCCCCTTAACATGGTAGCGGAATTAAGTGAAGATCTACCCCAGGAGGGTACCAGCACACCTGGAGAATCCCTCGCTGAGCATCCACGACCAAGTTACTCCACTCCTGAACGTGGGTGCTCAGGCTGCCCCGCGTATTCTGGGGGAGGGGGGCAAAATTCCGCTCAAGACTACAACTGCTCGGGGCAAACGGAGCAACAAGACCAAGGCGACCCCTGTCAAGCTATCCGTGAATTTCTGCAATATCAGGGGACTTCTCTCTAACCTAAACGCCGTCCACTACCATCTCGAGACGGTGAGGCCGGCTCTGCTCCTTATTACCGAGACGCGGGTGTCCTCTCTGGCTAATGTCTCGTATCTCTCTCCTACCCGGGGTACAAACTGGAACACTTCTTTGTGCCTCGGGCTGGAGTTTGCGTTTACGTCAGAGAGAATATCTGTTCTCGACGCCTCGGTAGACTTGAAGGTTCAGACCTGTCCATCTTTTGGCTACGCGTAGACAGCGACGACCGTCCGTGCGTCTACGGGTGCCCCTATAGGTCCTATAGCGGTAATACCGAAATGGATCAATTCTTCGACCACGACCAAAATGGCT